TTCAGAGTAAGATCGAGCAGATAACCGTCTTCATGTGGTTGTTTCAAAAATATTTATGTGCATTATTTCGGTGGAGTGCAATAAGGCCCGCCGAAATAACGCCCATGGGCGTTATTTCCATTTCGAAGGGGAAATAGCGCCCACCAATAAAAGGCAATAAAGTCCGCGGGCTTTATTTCCTTTGCGAATGAGCAATAATGGCCGTGGGCTTTATTTCCCAAAGAATAGGAAATAACGCCCCTTTCATATATTTCATAAAAAAGGAAATAAAGCCCGTGAGTAGTATTGTCTTTGGCTTTATTTTACTGAAACATTTCAATTATGTATACAGGCATACATTTGCATAAAAAAGAACGTATTGTTACTGATTTTTTAGCCTTCAATGCGATGTGCATATCTGTTCTCAGCGTCTTAGGTTTTTCAGTGGCGGCGGGAAAACGCGGATGGCCACGGCACGCGCAGCGTTGCCGAAATATTTCACTGAAAAATCGTCAATTTTCCCAAAAACTTTTTTGTTTACTTATTCTTTAGAACGTTCCTGATGATATGTTAACGTATATTTCAGGCGCATTCTGTTTATTCTGCCTGTATCTGTGTATCTGGAATGTATAAAGAAACGCAGCCATTATATTTTTTAAGCCGACTTCAAAAAAAGTAGGAGGTTATCAATTCATGGGAGTATTTTTTTTCTGTATGTTACTGCATAACTTTAGACCAGGGTTGTTGCGAATATTCGCATTCGCATTCGCAACCGCGGAACTTCCGCATTAATTTTAACATTCGCATTCGCTTTCGCATTCTCAAAAATCAATGCGGATCTTTTGCGAATGCGTTTATTGAAGAAGCCGAAAATTACAATTATTTTTTTTACGAGTTAAACTTGGCCAAATATTTTTTAATCCGAAATAAAAGTACTTTCCCAAGGCACACTGAACGGGTAGTATCAGTAGATCAGCTGATTTGATTTTTATTGTTATTTTTTCAAATTATTTGGTCTCGAAAATATAAAATTTTTAAAATTTTTTATCACAAAAATTCTAAATTGTTAAAATCTATTTGCATGTGAAACCTTTTTCCATACAAAATAAGCGATTGAATAACAGCTTTTGGAACGTTCGCCCAACTCAGCAGCACAACCGCTGATTACTGGGCCTTGCAAAGGATGGATCGATGCTTCTAGAAGCAAACAAATTTACTAAGAAATAAAGTTTCAACATATTTTTATTTTTTTTTAACAATTTTTTTTTTGTTTTTGTTGTTGGCCTTTGAATTTTAGATTATGAATCATTCTTAACAAGCTCGAGGCCCAGCAATTAAATAAAACGCAAATTTTCGTTCTATAGATATTTTAATTGTCGAGTGTAAGTTGTGTTTAACGTATGTTTGTAATAATTTAAAGTTAATAATATGTTATCGTGTTTGTATATTTACAGTCCTGAAGATGACCTCAGATTGAGGTCGAAATATCGACAATTAAAATATCTATAGAACGAAAATTTGCGTTTTATTTAATTGCTGGGCCTCGAGCTTTTTTTAACAATTTAAATTTTTTAATATTTTTTTTATTTCACATGGCACGCTTTGATTTAGAAGAAAAAATCAGAACAGTTTTTGACATTTTCGATACCAGTAGCAACAACAAAATACACGCAAATGTTGTTTTTGCTCTAATGCTACTACCTGTTTGATATGCCTTGCACTTTTCGGATAATAAACAAACCGCTTATTCAAATTAAACAAGTTTGGTATGCAATGAAAGAGGACTTAAATAGCTTTACAACTGAAATGTCTAAAAGAAGAAAGCCACACATTGAAAATTTCAATAAAAAATGTTAATTAATTACCATAGAACAAACATTGGGTTAGGTATGTATTTACATGAATAGTTTTAGCATTAAGTTATAAAAAAATATAAATAGAGGTGGTAGCCTTCATTCGTTATTTCTGTTTAAAAGCTATTTCAGTCATCTTTCATATGATACCAAATTTGTTTAATTTGGATAAGCTGTTTCTTATCTGGATAGGACGTTTATTTCGCAATAAAAATATTAGGCCAAATTTAACTCGAAAAAAATAACTGTTATTTTTGGTCCCTGGAATATTTTGCAAGTGCACAGACGTATATCTAACCAGTCACAGAAGAAAGTATTAAAAATGAGTTACAAAAACTAAAAACGAAAAACGCTGATGACGTGACAAATTCCGCGGGATTTTTTGCCCCTTATTCTAATTACCTTAAACGAGCAATTTTTATGTATATGTATATGTATCCATAAGTTTCTCGGCAACGGCTCTAACGTAGCAAAATGAAAAATCGTTTAAAATAGACTTTCGAAGTTGTATTTCTTCCAATTGTCAAAAACTTTTTATTTGTCACGGGGAAAATACCGTAAAAATTATTTGTATCGTGCGAATCTTTTTCTTCTGTTTTGGCGCTGCAACCGCCTAAGCGATTTTGGCCGAGTTCAGCAAAGCACGCCAGTCGTTTCTCCTCCGTGCCAACTGACGCCAATCGGAAACGCCAAGTGAAGTCAAGTCCTCCACCAGATCTTTCCATCGCAGTGGGTGGCCTCTCTCTTCCCCTGCTACCACCAGCGGGTTCGGAGTTGAATACTTTCAGAACTGGAGCGTCGGTGTCCATTCGAACGACATNAGTTTTAGCATTAAGTTATAAAAAAATATAAATAGAGGTGGTAGCCTTCATTCGTTATTTCTGTTTAAAAGCTATTTCAGTCATCTTTCATATGATACCAAATTTGTTTAATTTGGATAAGCTGTTTCTTATCTGGATAGGACGTTTATTTCGCAATAAAAATATTAGGCCAAATTTAACTCGAAAAAAATAACTGTTATTTTTGGTCCCTGGAATATTTTGCAAGTGCACAGACGTATATCTAACCAGTCACAGAAGAAAGTATTAAAAATGAGTTACAAAAACTAAAAACGAAAAACGCTGATGACGTGACAAATTCCGCGGGATTTTTTGCCCCTTATTCTAATTACCTTAAACGAGCAATTTTTATGTATATGTATATGTATCCATAAGTTTCTCGGCAACGGCTCTAACGTAGCAAAATGAAAAATCGTTTAAAATAGACTTTCGAAGTTGTATTTCTTCCAATTGTCAAAAACTTTTTATTTGTCACGGGGAAAATACCGTAAAAATTATTTGTATCGTGCGAATCTTTTTCTTCTGTTTTGGCGCTGCAACCGCCTAAGCGATTTTGGCCGAGTTCAGCAAAGCACGCCAGTCGTTTCTCCTCCGTGCCAACTGACGCCAATCGGAAACGCCAAGTGAAGTCAAGTCCTCCACCAGATCTTTCCATCGCAGTGGGTGGCCTCTCTCTTCCCCTGCTACCACCAGCGGGTTCGGAGTTGAATACTTTCAGAACTGGAGCGTCGGTGTCCATTCGAACGACATGACCAAGCCAGCGGAGCCGCTGTATTTTAATTCGCTGCACTATGTCCATATCGTTGAAAAGCTCATACAGCTCATCGTTCCATCGTCTGCGGTACTCGCCGTCGCCAACGCTTAAAGGCCCGTAAATCTTCCGCAAAATCTTTCTCTCAAACACTCCAAGAGCCGCCTCATCGGATGTTGTCATTGTCCATGCTTCTGCGCCATATACCAGCACGGGCATGATGAGTGACTTATAGAGCGTGGTTTTCGTACGTCGAGAGAGGACTTTACTCC